ATTTGAGAAAAGTTATTCATCAATGAATGAATAGAAATGAATGAATTGGTTTGGTTTAAATAGTTTACTTCTTGAATGAAATCACTTCAGCATTTCATTTTTAAGCAAAATACAATAAGGAAAGCGTGAAACCTACGTGAATATCACAAGACAGAATTGACTTGCATTCTTCGAGCCAACGAAAATAATCAGGAACAACGGAAACACCCGTGGAGCCAGTGCAGAACCACAAAGCAAAATTAATAGAGACAAGTTGGAAGATGATTATACCGCATTGTGCAAATTCAGATGTCATAGTCCTTAGCAATTCATTGAACACTCATTGAGGTTGGGGCCAAGATTACAAAATTTTTTGATGCAGATCCTTTCTTGCAGAAACATGGATATACCTCGATCCAGCTTATGAGATTCGCGACAGACAAAGCAACTGACGAATGTCATTCTCTGGGATATTTTTTACCTATGCGAGTATTATGAGGGACTGCAAAATCAACCACGTGTCTCAGCAGGTTCTTGTGTGAAAATTCGTTTATTCTGTAAGCTTGAATCAGTGATTGCATTAGCGCCTTGATGTCTGAGGTCAACAGGCTTGAAAAGGCGACTTCCGATGCACGACTTCCGGTGAAAATTTCCCAACGGCATCGCAAGGCAAACGAAGGTTCCTTAGACGCTTTGTATATACTGAGGCTTTACAATGCCTTGCCTCAAGTTACTGTAAAACTTCGTGCAAGGTTCGCTGCCATTTCATAAAATGACACATAACTTAATATTTTAACGACACCATTAGACCGCGGTATGATGAGAGAACGAAGAATGTCGAATTCTTCGTACTTCGCATAATGTAGATCTATTCACTGATTTTCAATGCTTTTAAATAAAAACCTTTAGTGTGTAAGTTCTGTATGTGCCTCCAATACAATAATTCCTACTGGATTTGATTTATCTCGATATCACAGTGTCGTCGGAGTAGTTCGTGCATTTATGAGACGGACTAACGACACGTTCATTCGTGAAGCTGCTATAAAAAGTAGAGTGGAGAGGATAGAACCTTAAACTATGCTGAGATAGTTTTTTACTAACTCACTGCGGCGAGAAAAGTGGTTAGCCATCAGTCAGATGAATGAGGTATTGATAGATATCTTGACTAACTTTCAGAGCACCTGGTCGAGCGGAGCAATATTAAAGATAGAACTTAGGTGAAGAAATGGCGACCCGTCATTGGTCTACCGTTACCCAGTTCTTATGCAATTTGATCCGTCTGCAGGCAGATTGACAAAGATATAATACATGGCGATGTTCGGTTGTTATTACGGTAGGCTGGAACAGCAGACTCATTCTGAGGCGGGAGATTCAAGACTGAGCAACGATTAAGCTAAGGGACGATTTGTAAAGTGAAGTAAGGAACGATGCCGTGATGTCTTACAGCGGCAGGAGGGTTCCCGTAAAACCTGGTCGATTAACGACAATTTTTTATGATCGATACTGGTGTTTGGTTGGCATTGACATCCAGTCGCGGTTATACGGGCTCTAAAGGAGCTCTGCTCCGC